TATTGTGATCAAGGTTTTTTTGTACTTAACATCTATGAGGTTGTTAATAAATTTTGTTCTTCTGCTTATATTAATGATTCATATGATCTGTGACATTTATAGATGACTACTCTACATACACCAAAGTATACTTAATCAAACAACTCTAGTGCACCAAATAACCTCTGAGAGAAGATATACTTACAGTGTGTTTTTTAAGAAAACTGGTAAAACTCCCTATGAGTTATGGAAATGTCATAAATCTAATCTTAAATATTTAAGAGTGTGGGGTGCCTAGCTAAGGTAATGTTACCCAATCATAAGAAAAGGAAAATAGGTTCTAAAACTTCTGATTGTATGTTCTTAGGCTATGCAGAAAATAGTGCTGCCTATAGGTTTCTTGTCCTCAAAAGTGATGTAATTGAGCATAATACTATAGTAGAGAAAACAAATGTTGAGTTATTTGAACATATTTTTCCTCTAAAGATTAGTGAGACACCTAAACAATCTATAGAGATTAATAGTGATAAAATATATGAGGATTTGAGGAGAAGTAAAAGACAGAGGAAGGAAACCTCCTTTGGAGATGATTTCTACACTTATCTAGTTGAAAATGATCCAATGAGTTTTTTAGAGACTATTAGGGCTCCTGATGCAATACATTGGGATAAGGCCATTAAGACTGAAATTGATTCAATTAAGAAAAATAATACTTGGACTTTGGTAGATTTTCCTAAAGGAACAAAACCTATTGGTTGTAAGTGGATCTTTAAGAAAAAGTATCATTCTGATGGATCCATAGATAAATATAAGGCAAGATTAGTAGCAAAGGGTTTTACTAAAAAATCCAACATTGATTATTTTGACACCTTTGCCCCTGTGACTAGGATTTCCTCTATTCGAGTTTTGTTAGCTCTAGCAGCTATCCATAAACTAGTTATACACCAAATGGATGTTAAGACAGCCTTTTTGAATGGTGAATTAGAGGAGGAAATTTATATGACTCAACCTGAAGGGTGTGTTGTTCCAGGTCAAGAGAACAAAGTGTGCAGACTTTTAAAATCCTTATATGGATTAAAACAAACACCAAAACAATGACATGAAAAACTTGATAGTGTTCTACTTTGTAATGACTTTTCAATTAATGATGCTGATAAATGTGTGTACTCTAAATTTGATAGTGGTGAATGTGTCATTATATGTTTATATGTAGATGATATGCTAATATTTGGTACATGCATTGACATTGTCTCCAGAACTAAGTTGTTTCTAGGATCTAAATTTGAAATGAAAGATACGGGTGAAGCCAATGTGATTTTGGGAGTTAAAATCATAAGGAAGGGAGTTAATATTTTTCTATCCCAAGAACAATATATTGAGAAACTTCTTAGGAAGTTTGGGTGTTATAACGCCAAACCAGTGAATACCCCTTATGATGCTAACTCTAAGTTAAAGAAAAATAGAGGAGACTTAATCTCTCAACCTCAGTATGCCTAGGTAATTGGGAGCTTACTGCATTTAATGAACTTTTCTAGACCCGACATTGCTTATGCAGTAGGTAGACTGAGTAGGTACACTCAATGTCCTAATCAAGAACATTAAAATGCACTTACAAGACTTATGAGATACTTAAGAGGTTCAATGGATTATGTCATTAAATATAGTGGATTTCCCGTTGTACTAGAAGGGTACAATGATGCTAACTGGATTTCTGATTCAGATGAGACAAAATCTACTAGTGGCTATGTATTCACACTCGGGGGTGGTGCGATTACATGGAAATCAGCCAGACAAACAATTATTGCAAGATCAACAATGGAATCTGAATTTGTTGCTCTCGAAATGGCTGGTAGTGAAGCTGAGTGATTGAAAAACTTCTTAGTAAATATTCCATTAGGAATGAAACTGATATCGTCTGTATCAATACACTATTATTGTCAATTGGCAATAGCTATAGCAAAAAATAAGAACTAAAATGGAAAAAACAGACATATAAAATTGAGACATAATTTAGTGAAGCATCTGCTAAAGAATGGAACAATTTCCATTGATTATGTGAAGTCAGAATGGAATCTAGCAGATCCTCTAACAAAACTCTTAGCGAGAAATATGATTTTAGAAACACCGAGGAGAATGGGACTTAAGCAACTTGCAAACAAACAGGTGATGGTAACCCAACCTTTGTGATTGGAGATCCCATGAATAAGGTTCATATGGGTAAAAACAAGTCACTTGTTAGTCTTGCTAGCACTAAAATTGATTAAAATCAATTATGTCCATTCCTATGGTGTATATGTGTGAAAGTGCTAGATACTGCATCATTGAGAGGTTAAACTTTGTAATTAAAATTCTATGTGGTGTAGGAATTTTAGTCTAAACAAAGTTTTTAAATGATTTCATATCCCTTAAGGGTGGTGTATAAGTTGCAGCATACGCTTGATGAAGTCACCTATATGAGTGTCGAGTGGGGCCGCTTGTATGAGATCTTTGCAAGATTTCTAGAACACTCATGAATACCGGGCACGCGCATGGCCTAGTAAGCGCAACACAACAATAACAACAAGAATTGTGGGGGTGTATTGTAATTATTAAAGCCGTTAACACACATTAAGTGTTTTGGTTCATATAGCTTACTACACCAACTACACTGTGTGTTAAGTTTTTTAGTCTAAGACTGGTTCATATAGCTTGCTATACCAGCTCTGATGCATTACATCTTATATGAGACCCAGAATTTTCCTCTTTTATTTCTTTTATCTTCTTTTGTTTTGCAATATGTGGGGATTGTTGTAAATTAAGGGGTATTGCAAAACAGAGAACATGTTCTCACACGTTGCAGAAGACTGTTTCAGAGAACGTGTTCTCACACGTTGCAGGAGACTATTTCAGATAACGTTGCAGAAGACCATTTCAGAGAACATGTTCTCACACACGTTGCAGAAGACTATTTCAGAGAACGTTACAGACCCACTACCAAGTCTTTCATAATTGTTACAGACTTTCTCTTATAAATAGAGACAACTTCACACTCTTCAGAAAACACCTCTCTCATCTTCTCTTCTCTGATCTTCTTTCTGTGATCCTGAGTTAATTTACTCTTTTGAGAGCTTCTTGCTAGTTTCTGAGATCCTCGGATATTCCGAGAAATTCATGTTCTATCTTGGGGGACTTGCGCAATACACTGCGGATAAGTCCTTAAAGGCAGTGTTTATACACGTTTCAGGAATAAAGTTTGTTCGTGTCTCTATCAGCTTTTACAATAGCTTGAAGGGCTCGATTTCTTCGATACTTTCTCCCTTGTTGCTAAACTCACCATTGTCAGAATGCTTTTATTTGTGGTTGCCATAAAAGGTTAGCATATAAAACAATTAGATATCAACAATGATTTATTGCATGGATATTTACATATAGATATTTATATGAGTATCCTTCCTGATATGGTTGGTGACATTAAGAATCAGGTACGTAAATTACACAAATCTTTCTATGGATTATGACAAACAAGTAGACAATGGTATGAAAAACTCTCTAGCTTTCTTTTGTCTCATGGATATACATACATCCTTCAGCGGATCACTCTTTATTTTAAATCGAAAAGGTAATAGTAAAATTATAATTTTAGTTTATGTAGATGATATGATCTTAGCCAGAGAAGATTTTGCAGAAATAGTTAGAATTACCGATTTATTAAATAAAACCTTTAAAATTAAAAACTTGAAAATTTAACATACTTCCTTGAATTTGAAGATGCAAGAAATAAAACAGGAATTCATTTGAATCAATGTAAATATACTCTCAATCTTCTCAAAGACACGAGTATGCTATATTGTGCTCCTGTTAAAATTCCTATGAATCATTCTATAAAAATTACCTCTACAGAAGGAAAACCTCTAGAAGACATCATATCTTATCGAAGACTCATAGGAAGACTTATCCATCTAATTAACACAAGACCTGATATTACTCAAGATGTTCACCATCTTAGTCAACATATCTCTACTCTTATTACTAATCATCATCAAGCTGCTATATCTTAAAAGCTATTTGGAAAAAGGTATATTTCTTTATGTTAACAGTGATATACAACTCAAAGCCTATAGTGATTTAGCTTGGGCTAGTTGTCTTGAAATTCGAAAATCCACCATTAGCTATATTATCTCAGCAATTCTCCCATATCTTGGAAATCGAAGAAACAACAAACTGGATTGAAAAGTTTAACTAAAGTTGAATATCGTGCTCTTGCTGCCACTATGTGTGAACTATAATGACTCACATATATCTTTGATGATTCAAAGATAAACTACATTAGATCAACTTTATTATATTGTGACAACAGATCTGTCATTCAAATTACCTCCAATCATGAAAGAACAAAATATATAGAGATCGATTATCATATTGTTGAGAGAAAGTTAACTAAGGTTTAACAAAACTTCTTTCTATTTTTTCCCGCATGCAAATCACAAAATTTGATGAAGACTTTGTCACATCCTACTTTCATATATTTAGTTTTCAAGCTAAGAATAATCGATATCTATTCTTAACTTGAAGAGATGTTAAAAGTAAGACAATTTATTTTTTGTTTTAATGATTTTCTTTCTCTTCTCATCTATAAATTCTGGTAATCCATTAAGATATTAGAGTGTATAAAGAGAATTTTCAATCTTTAATTCTGGTCGATCTTCTTATCTTTTTCTTTTTCGATTTTCAGTGCTCTTTTCCGGTTTTTAGTGCGGATTTTGGTGCTCGATTTCACATTTGGATTGTAATTTCTATGTTTTGATGCAATTTTTTTCTATAATTCGATCCTATTGTTGATGCTTGGATAAGTTATCGAAACATTTCTTCTTTCGAAACTATTTTGTTATTGAATCCACGATTCATTAATTAATTCTATTGTTGGGACATAAAAACGCAAAATCACTATTTTTTAATAAAGTGCTTCCATTTATTATTATTATTATTATTATTTTTATTAATTATTTTATTATAATCACATCATTATCGTCGTAATTACTGTCTTAACTGCCATCTGAATCAGATTATGTTGTAAGGAAATGACAGACAAATGAAACAATATGCATAGAAACCTCAGTGTTAGGGACTTGTCTTCTAGTAGAATAGTTTATTTTCATGTCACTTATCATCTGAAAAAAAAAAAAATAGATATCGCTCTTTAGGTTTTTTCCTCCTTTTTATAATCAAATCTCTCTTTAGAATTTTTTTCTTGACGTATCTATTGGGCCCAATAATACTTAGATTTAGGCTCTATCGGGCCCAAACTCTATTTACGCACCACAATCCCCTAGTCTTAAATTAGAAAAATATTTTTAATGCAAAAATTAAAAATCGAAATAAACGTTGAATACACTTTATTCATTAATCTTTCATGATATAATTGTTAAGTTCAACCACTTAAAAACAATAAACAACCCTTAAAAATCATACTTATAGTGACTGTCTTCTTTATATAGTGACTGTCTTCTTTATATAGAGTGAAAATTACTTTCTACGTGTATTTAAATTTAGACGAAGATTAACCTGATTAGGTTTACCATAATACGAATTTCATATGTATTTCGCCCATTGCCCGGATTTCCGTACGTTGCCCAAATTGCGTACATAGTGCGGATTGATTGAGCATGTAGTATGGATTGCATGTAGTATGGATTGCATATTACGTGCGGCTTGCACACATTGTCCAGATTTCGACCATAGTACATATTGCATTCATAATACGAATTACACACGTAGTACGGATTGCACACACTGCCGGATTTCGAGTGTAATAAATAACGCGAGTGCGAATTTCGCAATGGATTGGGTATGTAGTGTTGATTGTACACGTTACCCGAATTTCGAACTTAGTACGAATTAGGTAAGTAGTGCGGATTGAGCACCTAATATCGATTACCCACACTTTTGCCTTTCTGTCATTGTTACCTTTTAACCTTCTCAAGGCTTGCAAGACCGTTTCCCCAGGTTCAAGAACATCTGCAATGCGTCTCTTCATGATTCCAATATCTTTAGAAGAAAGGTCAGGGGTCTCGTCATCTTCATCATTTGTTGGTACAGATTTCAATGCAGCATATTTTGGATCAACTTCAATATTATCAAGCCACGCATCCTTAATTTCATTCTCTCACATATTCCACAAAATTTCCTGCTGCATCAAAATAACCTTCTTCCCTTTCTTTATCTAGGTTGAAAGGCTCAATTTGAATCCCATCATCAACAAAATTTTCGTTATCCTGCCACAAGATATCACCGATCATTGCTTGCCTATCTTTACGTGGACCCAATAACAGATCAATGCACAATAACTTTACTCATGTCACTTCAGCAACCGAGAAGTCGTTTACGATACCCCCAGTACCCTCACTAAATAGTTCAGCAGTAATTTGATTTCTTTGTTTTGCCCGCTCTTTGGCAGCTTTGGCAGCGGCTTTGGCAGCAGCCTGGGGATTCAGCAAGTCAACATCACCCTCCTCGACATTTCCTTTGTCGACAACTTCATCTCCTGGCTTCACTTTCCTACCCTTTTTGCTACGCACAACATAATACCACGAGTGGGGTGAATTCACAGAAAACACAAACTTAATACACTGTTGTTCTGGGATGGTACCCCTCTTTTTCAGGTTTGGCGCGTGGCCACACGTTTTGTGGCTATGCTATGCTACACATAGAACGTCCTGATGAAACCTGTGCTGTGTGTTTATGTGCTGTGGCCTAATTACATAGGTCTGTGTTACCCCTCGGTGGTGGTGCGAACGAGGGGAATTGGCCATGTTTGTGTTGGTGTTGTTGGTATTTCTTCTGGTTCGGGGTTGTACCACGGTGGTGCTCTTCTTGGATTTGCACATTGAAGGGAGAGATTGTGGATGTAATCGAGGCCGTGCGCGACGTCGGAAGCGATCTGCATACGCGAGGTCCACGTGGCGAGATCGGTGAAGCTAGGATTCCGGCGGTTACGGAGGCAGTCGGCGAGACTGGTGCCGGGGACGAATTCGTAGACGAGGAAGATGGCGGTGCCGGAGACGGAAGCGCCGAGAAGTTTGACGAGGCTGCTGCGATGGCTCCGGCAGATGAGTTCAGGCGGTGGCTGAGCTCCGGGAGGTCGATTTGTTGGCGGAAGTTGCGGCGAGAGACCACAACATCGCGGTGGCGAATTATACAGCGCCAGGAGGAGGAAAAGAGGCGTGGGGCGGAGAAGTTGGCAGTGGCGGCGGAGATCTCGGAGAAGTGGTAGATGTTAGGGTTTTCAGGAAGCGTGTCTTTGAGGCTTGAGAGAGAGGCGCGACTTGATATGGACGAGGTTAGGTTTCGCGTTCGGTGCGGACATGTTTTGGTTGAGAGCGTTCAGATAAGTCAGTGTTGAGGTTTTTGTATCTTCCAACTCCATCGGGTTCTTTTCTGAAAGGTAAACCCTGTTACGATCTTGGTAGAGTCAACATCATTATTTATTTTTTGAAGGTGGAGTAGGAAATGTTTTATCTATATTAAAAAATAAATATAGATATCTTTTTTTAGGTTTTTTTCTTTTTTTATAATCAAATCTTTTTTTAGAATTTTTTTCTCCCTTCTCATATTTATTGAGTCCAATAATACTTAGATTTGTGCTCACCCAAAATCTATCGGGTCACAAATGAAACAGTATGCATAGAAACATAGGGACTTGTCTTTTAGTAGAATAGTTTATTTTCATGTCACTTATCATCCAACTCCATACTCTCTACAAGTTGACTTTCAAACTCCAGTACCACTCACTTCTGGTTCCAACATTAGTTTTCTCTCATTGGTTTCTTTCTCAGCAATGGGAGATGAGGTGATTCTGTTGAATTTCTGGTTAAGCCCTTATGGGATGAGGGTCCGGATTGCACTCGAGGAAAAGGGCATCAAGTATGAGAATAGAGAAGAGGACTTTAGCAACAAGAGCCCTTTACTCCTTCAAATGAACCCAGTTCATAAGAAAATACCAGTTCTCATTCACAATGGCAAACCCATTTGTGAGTCACTCATTGCTGTTGAGTATATTGACGAGGTTTGGAATGATCAATCTCCCTTGTTGCCTTCTGATCCTTACCAGAGAGCACAAGCAAGATTCTGGGCTAACTACGTTGACACCGAGGTATTTTACTTCTTTCGGGTGCTTCATTATTATGATTTCGATTTTTCTTTTCCTATTATTTTATCATGAATAAATTACATTGACACCTTTCGTGCTTTCTTTGAAATTGACCAAATATTCCTATCTTTTTTCTCCTATGATAACCCACCCCTTAATTGTTTGAAATATATTACTATGACACACTTGATGTACGTTACAAGAATACTTCAATTATCATGTTAACTTCAAAGAAATTTCAGTGTGTTTGTGTAATTTACTCTTGTCAAAGAATCTTTGTTTGAAAAATTCAATGTTATCTGGTGAACTTCCTTTGTGTAATAGATATATAAGCTTGCAATGAGGTTTTGGACAACTGAAGGAGTTGAAAGAGAAGCTGCTGGTGAAGAGTTTTTGGGGTGTCTGAAGTTATTGGAAAAACAACTGGGGGATGAACCTTATTTTGGTGGAAACAACTTTGGCCTCGTGGATGTTGCACTTGTTCCTTTGTTCTGTTATTTTTATACCTTTAGTTTGTATGGCAATTTCATCAAGGAGGCACAGTACCCCAAAATCATTGCTTGGGCTAAGAGGTGCATCCAAAAAGAGAGTGTGTCCAAGAGTTTTCCCGAGGAGCACAAGGTCAAAGAGCATGTTTCCCAGAAGAGAAACAAAGGGTAGATGCCTTCAGGAAAATATTGCCTCTAGTTTCTTTGGGTGCTGTGTCTTCTAAATAATGGCATTACTTAGATGTGTCTATGGTTGTGCTGCTTTTGGATATTTATGACCCAATGGAAGAAGCCCCTTTGTTTCAGTCATATTGTATTTAGATGTCATATAAATCATGATCTTGGTTTGCAAGTTAAATAGTTATATGATTTCACACTTCTTTAGACATAAAGTAGAGACCACAAAACGATGTGCACAAAGACACAAATTCCATGAAGACATCTTTATTTTGAAACCGTAATAAGCATGTATGTGTTAGGTATTTCCGAGGGGCAAACATCAAGGGATTCTTATAAATGGGTCATGAATCAACTATATAAGAGAATATAACACCAATCTCAACCCAAAACTTTAAGACAATAGGTTATGGGTCTTTCTCACTTATAAGTTACTCAACTTTTTCATTTTTACTTAATGTGAGACTTCAAACTCACACTTGAATTCTGAAACTGTTAGATATTTTCGAGGGGACAAATAACAAGGAGATTCTTACAAATGGGTCATGAGCTAACCATATAAGAGAATATGATACCACTCTCAACCCAAAACCTTAAGACATTGAATTATAGGTCTTTCTCATTTATAAGTTATTCAACTTTTCCATTTCTACCTAACGTGTGATTTTAAACTCACACTTGAATTCTCAACAATATCATGAAGAACATGACACATACACACAAGGCTAAAAGAACTATGTGGTTTTGCTCTTATAGTTCACATGCCTCGATGTCCAATGCAAATTGTCTGTTTGTCACCACTAACTCAAACTATATATATACTCGTTTTGATATCATCCACATCAAATTTCTGACTTAGCTATTGTTAATTTCCTCTGATACATGTATTCACACTTTGATACATCTGGTCACACTGTAAAATATCAGATTTTAAACAAACCAAAATAACGAAACTGGCTGAGATAAAGATTTAACCATAAGAATTCAGAATAGAAGGTAGTGTTTTCTAAGTGAGAAGGCCTATTTATAGGTGTGCAACCAGATTGAAATTTGCTGAAAATTTTCAATTATTATGAGATTTTATAAGGATCACAACAGCTAATTAAAACAGAAAAATAAGTATCTAAATTCGTATTAAGTGTAAGGGTTAGGTCTTTCTTAGACAAACTCTCTCTTACAGGACTAGAGCACACTTCAATTTAGTTCAATATAAATCAGACTCATAAACCTCCTTCTCATATCGAAGAGTTTATATAAGCTTTCTTCTGCATGCTTCTCTTGGCCCAGGTGATAATTTTTGGACAATAGAACATAATTAAAAAGAAGAAACAAAATTGTGAGTTCAGAACTTCATTAAGTATTGCAATATCTTGTATGTGGCTAGTTTGTGGGTATAGTTCCATATACGTATACTTTTGACCTCTGAGTTGAGTACTATTATAGCTTTAGGCTAATCATCAAAAAAGACACTTGTTCTTTTAACATATATGGCATAAATTCTACGAAAAGGATTTATACAGTTTCCTTTTGGCAGTTACATACGCGAAGTTTTGATATTCTAATGGATGACTTCTCATACCTCTTTCTTCTGATTCTTGATCAATGACTGAACCATGCAGGCTTTTTTACTTTGAAAATGCTAACCTTAACTTCAAGTTTGAGTATAAATCAATACCAAAAGTGTTCATTTCCTGATAGTCATTCCCACATTCATTATAAAAAAATCATATCATATACTATATTATTATTATTACTTTTGTTTGTAGTTTTGTTCTGTTGTTCCATTAGCTATCTGAATAATGATAATAAATATCATAAATGTCTCCATTGCCGTCTGAATCAGGTGTTATTGTCAAGAAATGACACACAGGTGAAACAACATGTTATAAACATCAGTGATAAGGACGTTTATTTTCACATATCATCCAATTTCACATTCTCTCCAAGTTGACATTCCAACTCCTGTGCCACTCACTTTTGGTTTTCTTGCATTGAAGTTTTCTTTCTAGCAATGGGAGATGAGGTGATTCTGTTGAATTTCTGGTTAAGCCCTTATGGGATGAGGGTACGGATTGCACTAGAGGAAAAGGGCATCAAGTATGAAAATAGAGAAGAAGACTTAAGCAACAAGAGCACTTTTCTCCTCCAAATGAACCCAGTTCATAAGAAAATACCAGTTCTCATCCACAATGGCAAACCCATTTGTGAGTCACTCATTGCTGTTGAGTATATCGATGAGGTTTGGAATGATCAATCTCCCTTGTTGCCTTCTGATTCTTACCAGAGAGCCCAAGCTAGATTCTGGGCGAACTATGTTAACACCGAGGTTCTTTACTTCTCTCTAGTGCTCCATTACGATTATAATTGTGATTATTTTTTTCATTCAGATACAACTTAGATGCAGTTCTGTAAGTGTTTCTGGTGTTTTTTCAATTAGAATTAGAACTTCACCTAATCTGTGTAACAAAAGTACACATGAAGATAAACTTCAATTCTAATAGAAGAATAATACCAGAAACACTTACTGATCTATACCCAAGTTTTGTGCTCCTCTATCTTGTTATACATACCTTTGAAAAATGTGAAATTCGTGATTGAACTTTACTGTGAAACAGATGTGTGAGATTTCCTCGAGGTTCTGGAGAAGTGAAGGGGAAGAGAAAATAGCTACGAAGGAAGAATTTTTGGAGTGTCTGAAGTTATTCAAAGAACAACTGGGGGACAAGCATTATTTTGGAGGAAACAACCTTGGCCTGGTGGATGTTGCACTTGTTCCTTTGGTCTGTTATTATTATAAGTATAATTTATGCAGCAATTTCATCAATGAGACCCAGTACCCCAAAATCATTGCTTGGGCTAATAGGTGCACTCAAAAAGAGACTGTGTCCAAGTGTTTTCCGGATGAGCAGAGGGTCAAAGAGTTTTTTACAAAGAAGAAAAAGGATTTGAGCAATGAGTAGAGTAGAGGAAGGGTGTCTATGGGGGAATAAAACATTGCCTCGAGTTACATGTATGCTCTATCTGCTGAATAATGGCATCACAAACTGCACTCATATGTGCCTCTGGTTTTATCACTTATTCTTTTATTTCAATCAAATTGTAAATCAGAGTTATGTGAATGCACACCTTCTATGACTTAGATAAATTATACAAAACAACAAAATGATAAACACAAAGCCACAAATTCCCAGAGATCTTCATTGTGGAAATTCATTCAGTGTCCAATTTCCAATTGCCACCATCAACTTAAACTATTTGTTCGATTTTATATATCATCCAAACCAATTCGGCTCAAATAATGCTAATTTCCTTACTTTGATTCATTTGTTCATATTTTTAGATGTCATATTTTGAAAAGAAAAGAGAACAGAAAGCAGAGATAAAAATTGAGCCATAAGAATTGTTTATCTATAGCTTACAATAACATGAAATTTACAACATTGAAATTGGCTAAAAAATCTAAACTACTACGAGATTTATTAGGATTGCCTAACTAAAACATAGCAGAGTATGTGAGAATAGTAAAAACTATGTCTATCTCATATAGGCAAATTCTCACAGCTTTTAAGAAACACTTAAGTGTTCCCTTAATTTAATATAAATCTTGTCTTATAATCCAAAACAGACTCATAAACCTCCTTCTCATCTGCAAGAGTTTCAGATACACTTTCCTTCTGCATGCATCTCTTAGCCCAGGAGATGAGTTTTGGACACACTGACTCCACTTTGAAGTTGCCAAAAGTCTCATAAGTATAAAACCAGCAATAAAATGGAATGAGAGCAACATCAACAAACCCAAATGTTTCACCACCAAAATAAGGCTTGTCTCCAAGAAACTCCTCCAAATGCTTTAAGCTCTCGAGGAAGTCCTTCTTTGCCACCTCTTGCTCATCTCCCTTTGAAATCCATACTCTCCTAGAAGCATGATACACCTGCAATTTTTTAGCTCATAAGTTGTTACTCAGCTTTCTAGGACATACAAGTACGGTTCTTATCTTCAAATTTTGAGATCTACCTTCTGATCTACAAAATCAGCCCAGAATTTGGCTTGTGATTTGAGGTAGGGATCAAAGGGAAGCAAAGGAGAATTGCTGTGCCAAACCATATCAATATACTCAACAATTATGAGGGACTCACAGATCGGTCTTCCATGATGTATGAGAACTGGAATTTTCTTGTGAATTGGATTCATTTCTTGAAGCAAGGAGCTCTTGTTGGTGAGATCTTCTTCTATGTACTCATATTTGATTCCTTTCTCAGCTAAAGCTATCTTAGCTCTCATCCCAAACATACTGAACCCTGAGCCTAACAAAACCACCTTATCCTCCTCCATTTCTTGTGGTAACAACAGCACTAAGAAATCGAAGTGAACACATATATCTGTAAGTTTGGTAATCTTTGAAATACAAGAGATATTGATGTCAAACTAGTACTGTCCAATGACATCATTCTCAAGCTTGACTTTGAAACTCACTCTAAATAATTAAAAATAATTTTTTTAAGAAACATTTCCATAAATTCAATGAAAAAGATCACAAACTACACATCATTAACTTCAAATAAACTCTTCTATATAACATTCCATATATTGAATTTGGAAGAGAAACACACACAAAAAAACAAAAGTGAAGAAAGCTTAGATAGTTCCTTTTTTTATGTCTTATTTTTTTTTTTTATTCATGCATAGTCAATATAACGCTAAAATCTAACCCATCTATAAAAAATAATTACATATCATTAATAATTAATAATATGTCGTAGCGTTTTACTTTTCATCAAATAAATTAACATTGTATTTGGATGGGACAAGATTGAATTATTTGAAAATATATATATATATATATATATATATATATATATATATAATATTAAAAATAATAGTGAAAAAAATTAAAAAGAAAACTATTTAACAAAAAAATAATGTTGAAACATATTATAGCTGCAAACCCACAAGAAGATTGAAACATAGTGTTGACTAATACAGGAAACAACTAGTAGAAAGAGGTTTTATTGATCATAAGTGCAAAATTTAAACATGACAATTCATCTCTCAGATTAATTTTACAGAGAAGACACACCAAAGTGTCTAGTAAACCAGAAATAACCCAAGCCAGATAAAATTATACAAGGCCATACAATACCATATTTAAAACGCAAATTTTTATTGGGTTAATTCATGAAACTCCTCTATTTTGACTCAAGTGCCTTCTTCATTCCCAGAACATGATCATGCACCTTCTTTTCATCAGGAAGAGTTTTGGACACAGTCTCTCTCTCCATGCATCTCTTGGCCCAAGCCACCAGTTTAGGACATTCTGCTTCCATTTTGAAGTTACCATGAGTCTCAAAAGTATAAAACCAGCTATAAAATGGGATCAGACCAATATCCAAAAACCCAAACGTGTCACCACCATAAAAAGGTTTGCCACCTAGTGTCTCTTCTAGTTGCTTAAAGATAGAGATCAACTCCTTCTTCCATGTCTCATGCTCCTCTCCACTAGAAAGCCACATTTTCCTCCAAGTATCATACACCTGCATTGCATAACGAATATCACAAAACCAGTATTGGTTTCAAAGACAAAATTTAAAGCAGGTACAAAAAGAGAAAGAGAAATCACATGACAGCAAACTAAAGCACGTACCTTTTTATCAATGTAATCCACCCAGAATCTGGCTTGAGCTCGCTCGTAAGGGTCAGAGGGCATGAGTGGAGGGTTGTGATTCCAGACCTCATCAATGTACTGCACTATTATTGCAGACTCACAAATGGGTTTTCCATTATGGATGAGAACTGGAATCTTCCTGTGAATAGGGTTCATTTGCAAAAGCAAAGGACTCTTGTTCCAGAGATTCTCTTCCTTGTACTCATACTTAACACCCTTTTCAGCCAATGCAATCCTAACCCTCATCCCAAACATGCTGGCCCATGTATCCAACAAAACAACCTCGTCTGCCATCACTGCCTGCACAGGATCTCCAAACCCAACTCAAGTTGTGAACTGGCTAAAGTGTTGCTAGTTGCTTTGAACATACATGGTCATTTATAGTGAGGCAACTTTTAATCCATGCAAGAAAGAAACCATAACAATAATAATATATAATAATACACACATAATTACAATTCTCATCTTATAGATTTTTAAGATTAACTTAGTTATAGTTAATAATAGTAGACTTAAGCACTAGTTAATATTAAGATTTGTGTTGAGTTTACGATGAGAATTCTTTCTAGACTAGAGATATAAGATAATTATCAAATTAAGTTACTATTTTTAATACAATCTTTTTACGAAAATAAAATGTGTAGATTGTTCTCAAATGTTCTTGACGAGGTAGCTGACAAAGAACATTAGGTTACGTTTACAATTTTATTACGTCTATTTACTTTACCTAACACGTACTCCTTTTCCAATCCTCGGAACTGTATCTAAATATTATTCGAAAAAAGATTTTATATATCACCCTCTCATTTTAAAATACATGTACTAAACAACTCTTTTTATTATATTATTAAATGCTTCAATTAAAATGAAAAAATTATTTTATTAATATATAAAATTGTTACTTAATTTTTTAATAAAAAAATATATGTCAAATAATCTTTCTCCGTTCAATTGAGTGTATTATATATTAACAACCTCATTTTAAAACACTCTTCGTTCTTCGTTATTAATATTATAATGGTGAGATGCTTTAGAGTATAAGGGGAGTTGAATTTACAATTCTCCACTGAACACGACAAAAGCAGGAAAAAGAAAAAAATAAAAAATAAAAAAAGTGAGAGGGGGTTTAGTTGTGGTTTTTAATACTGATACATTTTTCTGGTTTAAAACTATTATTTTATTTTTATTTGTGTTTTTTTAATTATTAGTAAAAGAGAATACTAAAACCAACAATATGTAGAATTTTTTTAAAACATCAAAATAGACTCATTAAAAAATAGCTAGAATTTTTTTTATAATATTTCTTATATTTTATTATTTCTTTTTCGAGTTATTATGACTTTATATATTCTAACAATGTTTTTTAATTAATTTTATTAATATTTATTTTATTTTCCATATATTCAAGAATGTAAAATTGTTTAGTGAAAAAAATAAAATAAAAAGAAGTTTATACAAATAAATTTTATTATTCTTTTTATTTTTTTTAAATGGTATTAAAATAGTAAAATTCAAGGTGTTCTTAAAATATTAACATAAGACAAAAAAAATTGAATCTTTTAAAATATTAATTTAAGACAAAAAAAAACTTCTCTTAGAAAATTTGAGACAACAAATTTTTTTTTTCTCGTAAAGCAACATAACATTTTTGTATCATTAGCAAAATTCTAAGAATAGTCGCGTCTCAAACGAGATCTCACACGAGCTTAATCATTACCAAAAATCTAAGGAAAAATTTGGTTTATTTTATTTTGTTTCTTTTCATCGTATTAAACTCATTATTTTCACCACGCGTGTTTGTTACGTTACAAATGGAAACAAAGTTGTTGGTAATTATTTAGGAGAATTTCTTTTTTTCCAAATGTATGTTATTCTATAAATTTTATGTTATAACAAATAAAAAAATTATGTGAGTATTTTATATTTATATATTATATTACATGTGTTAATTTATTATAATAAAAAATAAATTTATTTATTATTTTTTTATTTCAAGAATCATATCTTTTATTTTTTGACATCTTGCATTTCTTTGTGTATAAAAAAAATTAATAGAAGTTTATTTTTAAAAATTTTATAAACTATCACAAAATTATATAATTATTGATAAAAAATTTAAATATTTATAATTTTTTAATTTAAAAGTTGGTATAATATTTTATTGATTATAATTTAGTTTTTTAATTTAAAAATTAGTAACAATTCATTAAATTCAATTTAATCTAAACGTGTTCTCTATTAAAACCATTTAAACTTATAAACCTCCAAAACATTTACACTTTCTCACAGTTAGTTTTGCACCCAATTAAATTTTCATTTCTTATGGTATACTTGATAGCCTAAAAATATTTTATCTTAATCTCACCATAGATAATTTCTTTGATTATTTCTTCTTTCGCAGTATTCACTCTCTTGTGTTTCATTTTTACTATTTTCACTTCACCCTTTCAATGAATTTGTTGGTGCTTGTGCTCCAAATTTGTATGACTAACAAGTTTCTTCTACTAAAAGTTTATCACAATATATTAGAATAGGTAATTTTCTTATTTTATTACTATTTATTCAACAAAATAGAATTTTTGTTTTAGGGTTTTTGAAACTCTATTTAAGACAATTTTTCCTTTTTTCTAAAATATATAAAAAATGTACAGTTTCGTGCAGAGAAGGAAATATATACCAGATTTCTCTTCTTATTTTCTCCTCTGATTGCATCTTCCAGGTTTCTACTATGGGATATCACGAAGTCTGATTCTCATGCCACGCTCTTTATGGTATCGGAGCAGGTTGAGTACATGCTCTGCTTCTGCTGTCATCTCTCTTTTTCTTCTTGGTGTTGTTCTATCTTCTTGATCAATGGAGACAACTACCTCAGAAACACAAACCACAATAAATCAATTTCTTAATCCTTCAAGCCCTTATTACCTTCACCCTAGAGAAAACCTAGGTCTTAATCTTGTTTCTCAATCTTTAAATGAATCTAATTACCCTTCTTGGAGCAAGAATATGAAACATGTTTTTTTGTCCAAGAATAAACTCAAGTTCATTGATAGAAGCATAAAAACTCTCACAAGAAATGACCCTGTGCATGATGCATGGGAAAGATCCAATATGATGGTTCTTTCATGAATTGTCAAAAGTGTATCCCCTCAAATTGTTGTGATATATGTGGATAATGCTAAAGATCTTTGGGATGAATTGAAAGAAAGATTTTCTAAAGAGGATTACTTTAGGATCTCTGATCTCCTTCAAGAAATACATTCCATCAAACAATGTGAAAGAAACATAACCCAGTATTTTATTGATTTGCAAATTCTTTGGGAAGAATTAGAGTTCCTAAGGCCTATACCAAGTAACTATTACAATTGTGATTTAACTAAAATCTCTCTCAAATATAGAGAAGGATAATATGTCATTTGTTTCTTGAAAGGCTTAAATGAAATGTACAATATTGTGAGAACGCAACTTCTTCTTCTTATGGAACCTCTTTCCAACATCAACCGTGTGTTCTCTCTTATCATGCAACAAGAGAGACCACTTATTGGAAATGGAGGGCTTACTATTGCAAGCAAAATAATGGTTAACACCACTGATAAGCAGAATAACTGAAGACAATAAGAACAAGGTTCTTGAAAAACACAAGGTCGTGGGAATAAATGGTGTAGCCAAGGAAGAGGAAGAGGAAGAAATTATAATCAAGGGAAATAATGTTCTTACTGCCATAAGATGAATCATACTATGGATGAATGTTATTCTAAGCATGGATATCCACCATGGTATAAATAGACAAGTGAATTCTCTAATACTAGTCAAGAGAAAGTGAATCAATAGAATTGGATTCAAGACAATGCAAATCAGCAAACATGCAATCTAAGCATGGAGGATGACTACTTGCAACTTAGAAATTAGAATCCTAAACAAGAAATATGTTCTCTCACCTTAGAACAGATGCAAAGACTCTTAAAGGTGCTGGAAATTCCTGATAATTCCGATCACACAATCAATCATGTTCAAAGAAATATGGTTGACTCATCTAAACCTAATAATCAGCAAGGTAATCTTCCCTGGATCATAGACACCAGTGTCACTGATCACGTTACACATGTCAAAGATTATTTTGTCACCCTTTTACAAAATCAATCCAATACATGTTAAATTGCCTAATGATTCTTTTATTCCTACATATCATGCTGGGATTGTACAATTTTCTAGAAACTTTATCATTTTTATTGTCCTATACATTCCTAAATTTTTCCTTTAATCTAATCTAATCTCTGTTCAAAGTCTTACTAAAGACCTGGACTGTAAACTAACTTTTTCTTCTAAGTTATGTCAGATACAAAACAGTTCTACATTGAAGACGATTGGATATGCTAATCTCTACAAAGGATTATATTATCTATAAGTTTTTCCTTCTATTCTTGATAAAAGCTTTGTCTTTATTAATGCAGCTTTGTGTTACAAAGAAACTGACATTAATCTATGGCACTATAGATTAGGACATCCTGAAAATAAAGTTGTTAAACAAATTTGTAAAAAATTTCCTAACATACAATCCTCTTCTAAAACTGTTTGCGATATTTGTCATTATGCTAAACAACATAAATTATCATTTCCAAAAAGTACTAACTTCTCTTCTGAAATCTTTAATATGATTCATGCTGATATATGGGGACCTATGTCTATACCTTCTGTTCATGGGCACCCAGGTATTTTTTTTACTCTTGTTGATTATCATAGTAGACATATATGGGTTTTTCTTATGCATGCAAAGAGTGAAACTAGAAATGTGTTGTCAAATTTTGTTGTGTACATTAAAAATCAATCCGAAAGAAACATTAAAATTGTTAGATCAGATAATAGTTCAGAATTTGAATACACTAAGTTATATGATAGTTATGGTATTATTCATCAAAAAAGTTGTGGAAACTCCTCAACAAAACTCTGTTGTTGAGTGGAAACATCAACACATTTTAAATATAACCCGCAACCTAATTTTTCAATATAATATTCCTAAATCATATTGATCTTATGCTATTTCTCATGTTGTCCATTTGATTAATAGGTTACCTATGAGTGTTCTTGATGGAAAAATGCCCTATGAGCTAATTCACAAAACACCACCTACATATTTGAATTTGAAAATCTTTGGTTGTTTATGCTTCGCTTCTGCCCTTGAAAACAACAGAAACAAGTTTGATTCTAGAGCCAAAAAAAGAATTTTTTTTAGGTATAAAATTGGAATTAAAGGTTATGTTCCCCTTGATATAAAAACAAGAGATTTTTATAAACAAAAA